TTTTTTTTTTTTTAAGTACCGGGGTGCTGGGGCTGAGCCATGTGGGGCAGCCATTGACAGGGCTGGGAGAGCAGGTGGTGGTCATGGGGCACTCAGGGAGGCTGGGGGAGCAGGCTGAGGATGGGGCCTGGCAGGGGTCCCACCATGGTCCCCTCCCCTCTCCTCCAGTCCCCATTCTCCCACCCCCTACTTACTGGCATGGACCCCAGGTCCAGATCCCTATGGCAGTGGGCGGGGACTGCTTGAATCTCTGAATCTTCTCCAAATCTCCTCTGAATTGATTCGGAGGCTTTGAATCAATTCAGACCTTTTTATTGGTCTCCCAATTCAATTCAGATTAGGAGATTCAGCCACTGAATCAGGCCAAATCTCCTCCGAATCAAACCAGCAACCAAAGCAAACCAGCAACTGAAGCACAGCCCTAAAGGATAGGTCTCTGACACAGGTGTATACAACACAGGGGTTTACTTCACCCTAAATTGAAGTGGTGTTTTAAAAAAACCACGGCTTCAATTTAGGGAGAAATAAACCCCCGTATCGTGTACAAATGCCCTAGGTTACTATGATACTCCACAGCAGGGACCTCTGACTTTTAAGGTCTCCATTGGCTGCCCTCATCTGCTAGAAAAGTCATGAGCAATAGATGGAGTCTGAGAGTTGAGACAAGAAGTTGTCCAATGTATTTTTTAAAGTCATATAGAAAAAAGTTTGACTTCCTTTTTCAATTCCTTCTGGAATTCCCTTTACATGGGAAATGTTGACATTTGTCTTTCATGCCAAATCAGAACAGCCCAATTTGTAACTTTGGGATTTTTTATGGAATTGGAATTCCAAATTTTAACCAGCCTTATTTATTGTAATTAATTCCATTTAGGTTACTGAGATTGTCCAAAAAAAGTGATGAAACATCTGTGTTATGTAAGGTAACCTACAAAAGGATGCAACCATCATCTCTATTTTCTGTGGCTTAGCCAGCCTCTCTCCAGGTCACAATATTGATAACAGACTTTCTGGTAGGTCCGTTAACCTGTCATTTTCTGAGTCCATCATTCTGTCCATTCTACGTAACAGAGGTGTAACAATGCAGCCAGGTGCCAATGAAGGGCAGCTGCAACACACAGGGGCAGCCATGACTGCCAGCAGCTGTCATACCACCAGCACAACTGCTCAGCTCCAGCAGCAGTGGCTTTTATTACCCCCTTCCTTTCACTCAGTGCCTGGAGTGGCTGCTCCAGTCACCCCTCCCTAGCTATGCTACTGCTACATTGATTAATACTTTAGCTAGTTTGTTATGATAAGATAAAAATACTTAATACTTTAGCTAGTTTGTTAAGTCCTTTAATACTTTAGCTAGTTTGTTAAGTCCTTTAATACTTTAGCTAGTTTGTTATGATGAGATAAATATGTCTAAAGTGCCAGTCCAATGGCTAGTTTATCATGTTGTGGTGATCCACATAGTAGAGAAGCCGTGATAGATTTTTCAGGACAGCACACTTCAAGTTTTGACAGGTTGCTGGCATCCAAAGACAGCAACATATCAGTGTTAACTACCATATTCAAAAAAACATCAGATCTAGGGATTCCATTGAACTGTCTGTAGCCTCACAAAGAAACAGGAACTGCCATAATTTTAGAACATCAGCACAGGAGGTCTTGCCCATTTATTTGGGGCAAATTTTAGACTTATTCCCAGGTCTAAAATTTTCTTCAACTGCTCTGTAATAGGAGCCCCTATCTGATTACTCAGAAAAGGGATGCAACATATTTAAGACATCCTATTTTGCACGGGGAAGTAACAGGGAGACCGAAGACACATGAATGCAGTTCCAGAACAGAAAGGAGTCACTCTGGCCTGGATTTTGCAAGGAGCTCTGCAGAGATCCAGAAAAAACTAAATAGTTTATACTTCCGGACTGGGTATTTGTTGCTGTTTTGAGTTTGTTTACTGCAAGAGGTGGTGGAAGCTCCATGGTTGGAGGTTTTCAAAACCTGGCTAGACAAAGCTTTGGCTGGGATTGTTGTTGGGGATGGTCCTGGTTTGAGCAGGGGGTTGGACTAGATGACCTCCTGAGGTCCCTTCCAACCCTAACATTTTATGATTCTATTATTCTAAGGCAGGGGTAGGCAATGTTTTTTGGCCAGAGTCCTGAAAAAACCAATGTCTACCTTGTAAAGTGCCGGAGTGCCGGCACACCACCAAAAAAACCCCAAAACAAAACAAAAAAAACCACAACAACTGAGGCAGAGGGGGTACATGACACGATACCCTGCATGTTTAATACAATTAATAAATCATTAATGTTGCTTCCCCCCCCCCCCTTTTTTTTTTTTTTTTACAGTAAATACCAGGCTTTCTAAAAATTCAAAACCTGATGACCATAAAT